ATGGTTTGGTATATATGAGTGTCTGCATTTAAATTGTAATTATATCGAAAACAATTTCACTCGTACTCTCCTCGACGTGGTAACATTCCAAAATGTCATCGTTTGTGTAATAATACGTTGAAAAGTGTGTGATAAAAAAAAACTGTCTTGAATAGTAATTCTTATCGTTACCAGTCTATACATATGTTAACGTATAAGTTGTACATTCTACACAACTGTAAACCTAAATAAACATCGTAACTTTAGAAACAGGTTGAATACTCAGATAAAAGGTTAATAACACATACATTATTTAAGAAAAATATTTTAAAGGGTGGAACTGAAGATTAAAAATAGTTACCGTAGCAATGTTGGGCGATGAAAAATATATTAGGCTCATCAATATAAATATATTTACAGATAGCCGATATTGTTTCAAACAATGTACTGACAACAAAGTTTGTCTTTTTGAAGTACATCAATTGTCGATAATAAAACATAAAAAATATGCTTGTTATATGTTTTATAATCACTTTTAACTATATGCTACTTAAAAACATGTAGTAAATATTATGATAAAACCCAAGTATAGATTTTTACACTAAAAATCCGAATAAAGTTATTATTAATTGAAAATATAACATAAATATAATTTAAATCCAAATACATCACATTCAGAGTTATACGTTATTGTCAACACCAAATAAAATGTATAAATAGTTTTAATTGGATAACAGCATTTATAACTAAATCGGGTTTTTCTTAAAACAATTTATGTTAAATCACTATTGAACATATTCAACAGTAATGATATACATATCTATTATTTTTTCGTGGTGTTAGAGAAAATTATTTATTAAATTTAAGTTTCTGTAAAAAAATTTACTAAATCTGAACTTAAATTAAACGATATATGTAATATGTATACAATTTTATCTACAAATAATTTTAATAAAAATATTAACTAATAATAAATTTATAATAAAAATTATTTTTATAATTGATTATATACTAATAATAAACCAGTATCATATTTTTCTAAGACATATTCAGTTCTTTTTCGTTAAAAAATTTTAACTGTAATGTAAATACTTATAATATTAATTTCTTTTTGTTCACTTCCTACTTAATTAAAAAAACAAAATCGTTGATTTCAATTATTTTGTATATTTTTTATTGCAATTACATTTTTGTTATAAATGAAGCAATCAAATTAAGCTATAAATAAGAACGGTTTGTGTTCAGACAAGAGACAACAAAAAAAAAAACGATTTTGTTAACACAACACAGCGAAGTGTTAAGCTGTTCATCGCCATTTACTTTAAGTTATAATTTTGAATCCTACAATGCTATTTTCTATGTTTTTAAGCTTTAACAGCGTAAGCACACTATAATAGTAACCTTCAACTAATTAATAATTCGCACACTATGAATTTCACAATTAACAAATTTCATATGTACTTGAAGTTTTACTGTTTAACTTAGAAATAGTAAATACAAGTTGACTCTTAGTAAGAAATTTTAAAACCAATGTAAAATATTCTACAACGATAGTTTAAGATGAATAAATATGCGAACAAATTTGTACATCTTTGTTAGTGGGAAATAAGACTTGTCAACTTAACCGTTATGTTGTGCGATGGTTAAATGCGTTTTATAACCAGAAAGTGCTATGGAGTTGAATAACGGCCGGTCCGGTTAGAACTGCGTCCATATGACAACCCGTTTGACCAATACCATGACCTTGGCCCAGCACTAAAAAACTCGAGGCGTGCCATCATCAATGTAAGAAAAAAATCCTAAACAAAGAAATCGAGCGTAAATTGAATTTAAACATTATTATGACTATTGATATGTTAGCCGAAATATATATACTAATTATTAAATGTACACTACTAATTAATATGAATAGAAAAGAAAAATTAAATTAATTATAGATAGCTTCATATAAAATTCTATTCTTTTATATTTTTTAAACTATAAAAAATTACTATTGAATAAAATAATTTGATACTTGTAACATTGTAACTTGTACACTTTCTAACGTGTAACTTAATACGTCGATAACTGTCTTAGCGCAGTACAAATACAACATTATTGTTTCAAGTACAAAGAAAAAAACACACATTAATAAATGTTTCTAATGTAGAAATTCGATTCGATTATAATTTAAAAACTGTTAAAGAAACCATTATATTTTTCGTCCTTTATTACGATTATTACACTTGTGTATACTATTTTGTATAAGAATTGTCTATCCTAATCGGATATCAGGGCGGACGTTCACTGTAACAGTTGGTCGGTTTCTTAAAAGGTGTATATCGTATAACTACCTGTTTTCCGTGGTATAATCATACAGAGGCATTGAATGGACACGCCTGACATATGGCCATATTAAAATAAAAACCTAAAATTCTGGATAGGCTTAAGAAAAACTCACGTATTCGCCAAGGTACACACAACAAAAACGGTAGCAAACGTTTTCTATTAACCATTTAGTATTATTATGCGATTTTTATTTTTGTAATCACGTGAACCAACATGTCTTTGAAATCCCTACCCCCGTCAGGACATTGTAATATTTGCTCAAGTACTTTTGTGCAACAGGAATAAACAACAATTCTAGCCCACGCGGATATTATGCACGTGTGACAGCTAGTATTACCAAATTAAAAAAACCTACGCTGGGAGAGTAACTAATTTCTGTTTAAGTAATTGTATTTAGAAACGGTTTTCCTTATGACATCGACAAGTACTCTAATTAAGGAATTATACTCATTAAAAATGTATTTATCAGTTAACAAAGTACTTTAACAGTTGACAATAAAGAAAATTTCTATTTACATTCCAACAAAACCTTTGAATTTTCATTGAAAAACACATTTACATGCTTATCACACAATCAATGTGATCCTTTTCGTTGATAAGGTTTCGTGTATTGTTATAAATTGATATCATTTGTATTTTTATTTTTTATATAAGGTAAATTTTCATTCACTCTTGACTCGTTAACAGAATTTCCTATGTTACTATTTAAATATATTTTTGGTAGCTCACCAAAAAAATATTTATATGATGCAAATTAAATAGCTAAAATTGTATAAACTATAATTTTAAGTTTAATTTCTCTATACATTTAATTTATTTACCTTTAAAAATAATATATATTTAATTTTAAATTACTTGTTCCTTAAAATATCAAGGGTAATGTTAAAAAACATTATAATTATGCTGTTTCGTAATAAATATTATTATATTTTTATGTTTTCAAGTAACTTATAAAAATTACACTAAAACCAATTAAAAGTTTACAATTTTTTTTGAATTTAATATATATATATCATTAATAGCTAGACGCGTTGAAAAAAGAACAACAATAAGAATATTAGCATACAGCAAAAATATTAATTGATTTTATTACAGATCGATTTACTACAGAGTGTTTTAATTTTAAGTGCTCAGAAGTTGAATCCTTTAAATACACTTTTTTTAACAATAAAAGTAATAGCATTGTTGTGTATTAAACAACTAAATACTTTTGATAGAATGTGAATTGAAAAAAGTGAAGTAAATTAGTTTGGTTTCTGAACGCCTCATTTAGTAATAAGAATCTCGTTATTATAAGTCTTTTTTATACACAAATATCTTTTTAAAGATATTTCTTACAAGTTCAATTGAACTTTCTATGCAAAAGTTAAAAAAATTTTTTTAATAGTATCAAAAATCAAAGTTAGTTTTTAATTTTATAGTAAAGATACAAATGACCGACAAATAAAAACATCAAGGTATCGAAAATTGACTAATAATGAACATTTATTATGTTTTTAATACTTTGTACAATGGTAATTTTTTAATTTCAAAGGATAGCTAAAAAAAATTTTTTGGAAGCTTGTTTTTTTTCTCTTTTTTTAGCTTCGATGCGAAATTGAGAAGGTATTAGTTTTACTATGATGTGTTTTTTTTTTGTTTCTGTTACCACTTTTTCTTAGCTCTCACCTAACCGACTTCTTTCAACGATACATTAAAAGATCACTAATCGTATCTAGTCAAAGACATTATCCTCAAAAATTGAAAAAATTTCATTCGTTCCCCGTACATGTGGGAAATCTTAAAAAAAATTACAAATTTAAAAATCGCTAATTTTCGACATTTTTTCAATTTTTTTTACTTAAAACTGTCNCATGTGGGAACGTGTGTGGGAAATCTTAAAAAAAATTACAAATTTAAAAATCGCTAATTTTCGACATTTTTTCAATTTTTTTTACTTAAAACTGTCATTAATTTTTTAAAGATGACAAATTCGATATAATTTTTTTTTATAAATGTATGATGTCTTTACCTATCATTTGGTATATTTTTTTTATAAATTTGACCCTTTACCTGCCCACAGGGAGGGGATTTAAAATGACAAATTTTTCACAAAAAATTAACCTTTTCAACTTAATTTTTGAAAGTATTCCGGAAAGTATATATCTCAAATTAAAGATACTGTAATATACTATATTATGGAAAAAAAAAATCTCGGACTTTATTTTGTCTTCACGATGAAAATAGTTACCAAATGCTATTTTTGAGTGAAAATGACATTATGCATCTATAAAAAAAAATTATATTAATTTTGTCATTTTTTAAAAATTTATGGCAGTTTTAAGACAATAAAAATTGAAAAAATTATCTTATGAGAATTTATACTACAAAAATTTTTTAAATATTTTCATATACAGTTCAAATGATTTTTTTTTTTCATTTATTCATTACTATAAGACCAATTGGGGGCTAAGCTCCCTTCTAGATGAAGAATTAGCACTCAAAAATTAAAGAAATTGAATATATTATTATATAAAAACATAAGATAAGAAGAAATTAATTTAGCACTCCTTATTTTTTTTTTTAGTTTTAAATATCTTTACCGCAAAAAATATCAAATAACAATGAATTGATTGTATTATTTAATTTTGCTTATATTTTTAGTTTTTTTCTGCAAGTCTTTTTAAAATGAATAAAATATTTTTTTTTTTCAGATTTTATACCATTGTGGCCCCAAAAGTATTAAGGCCTAATTCAGACTACCATGTAGCTGTCAATGTTCAAGGTACAACCTCTGTCACTTCTGTGGTTATAGATGTTTCCGGCAAACCAGACAGTGGTGGTAATTTCAAAGCTACTCAGTTCGTTAAAGTTGATCCTTATACCACTAGAATAGTCAGACTTGAAGTAAGAATACTGTTTAATGACACAACAACTAATATAAATTTAAATTAATATAGGAATAATTTTAATCTTCTAAATCAATGTGCAAACAGATTAGTGATGTTGGACCTGGTAGCTATAACCTGACCGCTAGAGGTTCTGGCGGTTTAGAGTTTGTCAACAGCACTGCGCTAGAATACATCCATAAAAGTTATTCGGTATTTATTCAAACGGACAAAGCCATTTATAAACCAGGTCATAAAGTACAGTTCAGAGCAATTGTTTTAAATTCTCATCTTAAACCAACAGTTACTGGAGCTTTAGATGTATTTATCACGGTAAGTTTGAATACTTCTTATTGAGTATACTATATAATTAGTTTATCTAATATTTTTCAAGAATAAAAAAAAAATTTAATGTTCAATAGGACGGCAAAGGTAATCGTGTAAAACATTGGAGTAGGGCGTTGACAACAAGAGGAGTTTTTTCATCCGAATTTCAACTTTCTGAAGAACCTGTGTTGGGTGATTGGAATATCACAGTAACTGTTTTGGATCAAATATTCCATAAGTCATTCACTGTTGCTGAGTATGTATTGCCTAAATTCGAGGTCACCATTGACGTACCAGAGCATTCCACCTTCAAGCAATCGGTTGTATCAGCCACTATCCATGCTAAGTATGAAAAAATTTATCACATTGTTCCATGCAAAATTTACATATAAATTCATATTAAAATTAATCAATTTTTTTTTTTTAGATACACATACGGTAAGGCAGTAAAAGGTGAAGCTACAGTGTCTGTTTATCCGACAATATTCAGTGATGTTATTCAACCTATTTATGAAAATCCTCTTAGAAAAGTTGTACCTATCGATGGAAAAACGGTAGTCCAATTTGACGTCGTCAAAGACTTGAAGTATGAGTTGTTTTAATTGATTTTAAGAATAATCTAATATGCGTTATTGATAATTTATTGTTCATAAAACTTTCTTATAGTTTGAACGACGAATATGAACGAGGCGTAAGATTTGAAGTAACCGTCGAAGAATCTCTTACGGGCCGATCTCAAAATACTTCTGCTAACGTATTGATACACAAACATAGATATCGAATGGAACTGATAAAGTCATCGGAGTATTTTAAACCTGGATTAAGATTTACCGCTTACGTATGTTTACTTTACTTATTTTGATATTTTAAATATTACTATTTTGTCAATCATTTACAGATAAAATTAAGTCACCATGACGGCACGCCAGTGTACGATGACAGAAACCCAGTGAAAGTTCGTCACGGTCTCACTTACAACACTGCTGAATATGTCGAAGAGAGTCACTATTTACAAAGGAACGGACTGATAACATTAAATTTCTATCCAACAGTCAACGCTACATCCCTTGGAATCGAAGTAAATATAAATATATTTAAGATTGTATTACTATTAAATTCTATAAAAGTTTCATAATGATATTATTTTTATTAGGCGGAATACTTAGATCTTAAGGAATGGTTCTCAACAGTGAGCGCATCAAATTCACCAAGCAACACATTCATTCAAGCAGCTCTTTTGACTGAACGTCCAGTGGTCAGTTTTAAAATGTTTTATTTAATGAGCTAAATACATATATTTATTTTCATAGTGCAAATATCATTGATAACTGATAGTCCCTTGTACTAGAATTATATATATTGTTTGATATGCGGTTTTAGGTTAATAAGGATGTCGAAATATTGGTGAATTCAACAGAAAATTTACGTTATGTAAGCTATCAAGTACTCGGAAGAGGTGATGTAATTGTTGCTAGTACTGTACAAGTGCCAAACTCTGGTCAACGCACCGTTGTCCTACGTTTCCTAGCCACATTTGCCATGGCGCCAACTGCTCATGTCATTGTACAATATATTAAAGAAGGTGGTGAAGTAGTTGCTGATGCTATTGATTTTGAACTTGATGGAGTCCTACAAAACTTCGTGAGTGCATTTTACGATTATATTAACTTTGCGTCTTAATCGATTACTATTTATAATGATATTATTGATTAAATATTTTTAATTATTTAATTTCTATAATTTAAAAAATATTTACCTTTGTTAATTCAGTTAATTTTTATAATGGGCGATATAGATTAACATGGACATTGGACGCGTAGAAGCTGAACCAGATACTCCAGTAGATATAAACTTTGAAACTCAACCTAATTCCTTCATTGGTATCACTGGTATTGACCAAAGCGTGTTATTACTAAAATCTGGCAATGATATTACTCACGTAAGTTTTATTCATTATTAATATATTTTTTTATCACATGTATTTTTATGATTTGGATAATTTTAAGTTTGATATTTTACTTTTACATAATTAATTTACATTAAACTTTTGATTCGTGTTTATTGTTCATATAAAATATTTTAAAACTAAAATTTTACATAATTTTATCATTTAATGTTAGGAGAACGTATTGGATGAACTTAGATCGTACGACAATAGTGAAAACGCAAAATATCTACCATATCTGAACAACTGGTCCGATAGACGCTCTATGGTTTGGTGGCCTGGTTCATTCACAGCCCAAGAAGCTTTTGACGTATGAATGAGTTTTCCTAATAAACAATTTATGTACACTTTTAAAGTGAAATTTGATATCTATTTTTATTATAGAAATCTGGAGCTACAGTATTAACTAATGGATATGTTCACGACTATTCACCATGGAGTAAGTTCAAATAAGTTTTTAAAGTATAATTTTTAATTTGTTTCCAGCCATTGACTCCTTAAATCAATTATATAAATAGATTTAATCCTCAAAAAATATTAATACTTTATATTTTATTTATAGTCATCTATATTCATCTGTAGAGTAGGTTTTATTTTTTTTAATTACAAGTGTAGTGAAATCTTCACACAACCCAATAATTAACGTATTTAATAACGTAATTTTCTTAAAAATAAAAGTCGAGTATCGAAATATCATCAATAGCTTTAATAATAACAACAGACGCAATTAACTTTAAATAATTTTTGATAATGATTTGAGCAATTTAAAACAGTTTAAAAAATAGTATGCTTCTTTTATGAAAACAACTCTAAATGTAATATACAGGGAAATTTGGAGTAAAACGAACCCTTTAAAGTCTAAATAGGGATAGCTTACTACATAATAGCGTGAGATAAATAAAATAAATAGCATTTAATTACAAATATTATGTAGTTTAAATGACCAAAATCCTAATTTTAAGACTTAACACATAATATTAAATTATAAAATTAGAACACAAAAGGCCTCATCATATTTTTATATATTCATTTTAATATAATTGTTACTAAAAGTATTAAACACAAATCATATTCAAATTCTTATGATATCTATTTATTTAAAATATTAAATTTTTTTTATTTTAATATTAAATTATAGACAGAGTATTAAATGCTATTTACAATCATAGTATAGAAGTTTTATTGCACTATTCATGCATAAAAATGTAACAAATAACATTTAACATATTAATTATACATAATTGTATAATTTTTTTTAGTAGGGAATAATGATCTTGAAAAATTAATTTTGTGCTAACGTACTCTTTTTTTATTAAGCTTTAATTAATTAAATTTGCGATAGAAAAATTTAATACTGAATATTAAATTAATTTAAAAAATTTAAACTTGCCTTCAATTCAGTAAAATTTCTATTTACAATAATATATATTAATTGATTAAATTCGTAGTTCAGATAATAATTTTTACTTCATTGGAGGAAAAGTTAAGTATTTGATAACAACATAAAACATAATAAGTGAAATGAAAAATAACATTTTTTATTTAAGAACATATATATGTATAATTAAATATAATTTCAATTACATTTTGATTTCATAATTATAATTAGATATTTTTTAAGCGCAATTTTCATTTATTCCACCTATCCATTAACACACGCCACTTTACCCTATGCACAAAAATACACATTTAATATTTTAATATTTTTTAATTTATATAAAAATACTACACAAATTAGGAAACTTAAATCAAAATTAAACAAAAATGTTATATAAATTAATTGTTTGGTATGTAATATAAATTATTAATAATATTTGACGTCATAAAAAGTATTACAACTAAGTCACAATATAAATTATCTTCATACAAATGTACTAGTTGTCTGAACCAATAATTTGACAATTAACAGTTTATAAATTGATAAATTTATTTTTTCTCAGTTATAATACTCAAAATAAGTCTAATAAAAACAATTTTTTTTTTTAATTATTTAAATGTGACAGACTTATAATTTATTAACAAAAAAAAACTATTAATTATGTAAAATTTATAAAATCAGCAGATGTATGATATTTAGTTTAATTCAGAAAAGCGTTACTTTTTTATGAAGAATTTTGATAGATTCCGATCATAATGAATGTAAATTGTACCTCATCTTATGGGTACTTTAATTTTAAATTAAGATAGGTTAATAAATAAATAAACGTTAATATTTAAAAAGTATTTTTTTTATCGTTTAATTTTAATCAGTCGTACTAATATCTAATTTCTATATTTTTATGTGTTCATTGAAATTAATTTAAAGATCGATATTTCAGAGTATAAAATTTAATTATTACTTTTCTAAAATGTTTATATGTGTTTGTGAATTATAATGTCGTCTATATTATCACCTTATAAACAATAATCAAATATATATTATTTAATATAATATAATATAATATTATTTAACTATATGAGTAATTTCAAACTATGTATAAACGTCTTCATCGATCTAATTTATTAACATGTTTACTTGATATATTTTTAATATATTTTTAACTTGATACGTTTTTAAACTAATGAATACTTTGTATAAAACTCTAGCACATTGTAGTAGTATAATATTAATTAATTATAATTTTGTAATAATTATTATTTTATTTAATAACAATTTATAAAATAATATAATAACTTACTAATATATAACTTGGGGTCTTGCCTGTGTACAGTTTACTTCAGGTCAACCGTTTTAGAGGATGACATATCATCCGAAGAACACATGACAACATTGTCCACAGACAATTCAATTTCAACATCATCTGGAATCAAGGTTCGCAAGAACTTTCCTGAAACTTGGCTGTGGGATTCCATCGAAGCTGGGTAAATAGTTATAATAATATCAATGCAAGACATGGTATGCATGTGAAGGTGAAGGATAACGCTTTGATTATTAGTAAATAGCTTTTGCACGCTTAACAATAGTAAAATAACGTACACAATGATTTCATAATTTCTTTTTGAATTTAAAAAAATAGTCAAGCGGGTCAAATAATCAGTTTTCTTTTTCCAGTTAAATATTTAAAAAATAATTTACAGTGTAGGTTTAAATCAACAGTTCTTGATAATTATATGATTTTCATCTAAATCTTGAATAAATCAGTTATTTATTTCTCCGTGAGTTGTTTCTTTTAACATAACGATTTTAGCTTATTCCTATTTTTTTTTTTTTTTTTTTTTTTTTTTTTTT